AGTTCTGTTCGGCATGAATAGCTTCCACGATGAGGCAGGCAATTCGGGCTAGCGTTTCAAAAGTCTCGGATGTGCGGCTGATGAGGTAGACGTGGTATCTTGGGTGGTACTGTTTTCAGACCTGAGCTACTCTATCCGACTCTGGTGAATTCAGGTTCGCCCTTTTGATGAGGGAGCTACGTCCTTGCCTTGAGGTCTCGGAGAATCTGCGTTCCGTACCCTGCGGGCAGAAACTCTTCTTGAAGCTTTGTCTGGAAGTCCGCCAGGCTGGGTTTCCTGCGCCGCTGCACGACTCCTGCACTGCTCCTACACTTTTCTGAACTCGCACTGGACTAGTTCGGAACTTTCTAGTGGAAACCAACAGACCTAATGTTAACCTCATACTGTTATTCCTCATACTCCCAACTGAAAAATCGTATTGGTACCGGCTGGGTTTGCGGAGAAAATACTAAGGACCAATTAGAACCAGTTTCAATCAGAACTCATGTTAATGTTGAGTTTTTGTTAGAGTTGATTTTTTTTATTAGAAAAATTTTGCCAGCTGGAACCAACTAAATCACATAGGTTCCAGTTAATACCGCTTAGAAATCCAAGAGGGTTTAAAGGAAAGTTTTCACTGGATAGCCATTATCTACGTTACAAATAAACGACCTAACGCGACGTAACTATTCGCATAGTAATAACACACGCACAGACGACGGCACCACTGCAATGAGGGATCGGCGCCTCTCGGATTTCACTAGTACCTATAGTTACCGATAGCAAAGGTTCTCGCGTAACACTAGATAACTGAATCAGACACTGCCGATTTGCAGCTGACAGCACGTAAAATAAACCCTGAAACGAACAGAACACGAAACGAAGTTAAGACAGAAAGCTCTTAACACAGTCTCCTCTTGATTCAGGGTTTATGACGATCAGCTTAAACCTGCTCACACGCACTCCTCTTTCAACGTAGTCATAAAAAGCAAACTCACCTGTTGCAATGCGGTCTCTGCTGTCGGACGATACCTCCTTTTCCCATTTTGTATTCAAGTTATCCCAGCACTTCTTTAGTTGTATGAAATCGCGTGCTCGGACCCCGTGGTTCCTGTTGTACTCGATCGTGAGGAGCCCCCACGCCTTCGCCCTTGCCTCTGCGGACAACTTGTTAGTACATCGGTTTTCGATGACGGGATACCTCGGCACCATATTCGCGAGAAAAAACTTCTCATTTTCAAAAAAAGATACCTTCTTCGGCTCGGCCATGGCCCTCAACGTAAATGCAAAATTTAAAGCAAACACAAGACTGGAAAAAAAGAAATAAAAACAGCAGGAAGAGCACCGAAGAAACGAAATCGACCAGCAATTAAAGGACCGCGATAGCGAGAGTAAAAGGCGCGACGCTGAGCTGTGCTCTGCTTTGCCAGACGAGACGACGACATGGTCAAAAGCCGCTAAACATTTACGTCTTGAAATTATTAGACTCGCATTTTAACGTACGTCGAACCCCAGAAAAAATTATGCTACAAATTATTTTATATTGTAGTTTCTTTCAGCACGGATTTTAGAGTACTAACAATAAAATGTACTGCAATCTCTATCCTAGACGTGCTCAAGGTATCCTTGGACGACGAAGGAGCCTTTCGTCTGCTCCTTACGTAAGGAAAGGGCGGGACGCCTTTCTGACAAGAAATGGCACCTTTCCTTTCCTTTTCCCATTTCCTTTCCTTACGTAAGGTAAGGAAAGGCGGAAAGTGAAGTGGGCGTTTTTGAATTCGGGCGTAAGCCTTCCACTCCTTTGTGAGCGCCGGAAAATAGCTCGATAAGAATTCCTATTCCTGTTGAGAAATCAAATGTTTAACCTTAATACAAGTAACTACATAACGCCCCGTGTATCTGGGCCTCTAAGAAGTACTCATTCATGTCAAATTAATCAGATATATTTCTTTCCAAGAATTATATCAGAGTGGAATAACCTCCCCGAAGGAATATTATTAAGTGATACCCTAGCTTCTTTTGAAACATGCACATCTAAATCCTATAACCGGTATTAACGAACCTTTCCCTACTGCAGTGAATAATTTCGTATATATGTTTTTAAAATTTGAATGGATTGGGACTTCTGTGACTTCATATATTATCTGCTCATGTGTTCTTGTCTTTTTTTTATCTGCCTTGCTCGATGTTGTTTTTGCGCGCTTAGCAGCGTACGCTCTTGTAAATTTTAACCGTGAGAAGTTATTATACGTAAAAATGTTTTTGTTGTGTATTCAGTGTGATTTACCAAAATAGTGTACTCTTGTATTTCGTGATATGTAGTTTTCAAAAATGTGCCTTCATATGTATTACCTAGTGTTCTATTTTGTGTACTGTTGCACTCCTGTAACAACCCCTACAAGCTAACAGTATAAAAAAATAAAAATAAAAATAAAAAAAAACATTCACAGTGCCATATTACTTCACTTTAAAGACATTTGTGAAAATAAATAATGATTATATCATGAAAATACTTGAGCATAACAGAAAAAAAATGCAGGATATCTTCGAAAGCACGATCTTAATTACGTTATCTCTTTTAGCTTTTTATTGCTTTGAAAAGTGTGGCGTGCAGGTGGCGTGCAGGTTGGTCTGAGCGGGTGGCGGGAGGGATGTGTCTAGTTAACGTGACAGGGGCATCACAAAATTTAAAAAAAATAAAATCACTACATAGTTTAAAACAGACTAGGACGTCGACGGACTGCCAGGAATATGTTTAGGCTGACCACTGAATGTTCTCAACGTGCTCAAACGTAAGAGCTTTGCTTCGGAATACGTCGTCTACTGAGGGGTTGACAGAGGTTGTACACCGATTCCGGCGGTCTGATCGACGATGAGCTCTAGAAGCGGCTACCACGTGTCTTCTGAATTGGTGGATGCTGGATCAATTTACACCTCGAAAGATCCCGGTTTGTGTTGTGCGGGAATATTTTGCATGGCCACCGTGCGGTGAGCGGAGTGTATGTAGTCTGCACCACAACACCCTCCGTAGCTTGACTTTCAACAAGAAGGGCCTTCTGCACCATCTTGGCCTTGTGGGCGATGTCATGTGGGTCGTACGGAGGGGGCTGTTCTAAAGCCCCTCGATCTGTTTGCGTTTGTCTTTCAAGTAGCGTCAAATTCGACAGTCGACAAGGCCCGGGTTGTGAGCGGCCCTTGGAAGAAAATCGCGGTGGAGCACTGAATTGAGAGGCTATTCGAAGCGAATGGCGGTGGAGCAACCGCTCCTGGCACGTGTCCGGTACTTCTAAAAAATGCCTTTTTCAAAGTACTTTACGTTCCACTTGTGATTCGGCGTATAGCGACGGAGGGTTCTGTATCGCTGCTCGTGCTGCCTGGCGGGTCCGGTAGTTTTCTGGCATACCGGCTTGTCCAGTGATCCAGTGGATCCAACTTTTGATTTTATGTGTATGGAAGGGTCTGTCGAGTGTCTTGATGTGCCTCACGGTGAGACTGTTTGTGAGATGACACTTGCAGGAATATTAAAAATATCTAGGCAGTGACTGGCCGTAACCATGTGCAAAACAATTAAATAAAGGCTAGGGGCCACAAGAACTGACCAAATATAAAAATACCACAGCAGCATTCGCTAGGGCTTGCTGTGAGACTAGTAAATCTCCCCACGCTACGATGGAGGAAGCCTGCCGTACACCAGGCGTCCCCTGTGTCGTCCAACATGGAAGCTTCCTGGGGCCTCTCTTTTAAACGTCTACACACCATCTCACTCTACTCGTTTACACCCAACGTTACTAGAACAACTCAGTTTGGAAACTGCCATAGAGCCCACTTTGTAAAAGTGGCCCCCCAATCCGTACTCGATATAAGCGAACTAAAGCCAATCGGAAGGCCGCCATTTTTCCGCAGCAGCCTGTCCAGGAACTGCACGGCTGCATGTATTGGTTCAGGTCGAGTCGCCCAAAGGCCGGTGACGCTAGCCGGCTGTGCCATTTCGTCGTAGCTATATAAATCATCTTTCATGTTTTGACTCGACACTAAAGAGGGGCGCTGTTTTCATATATAGCTTGGTCTCGGTGGACGCGTGCTGTCTGGGTTTGAAGAGTTAGTTTCCCAAGTGAGTGTTTCAGTCACTTTTTTTAACCTCACGAAAAGATGTTTTGGGCATTTTTTCAGATGCTGCGCGATGTAGTTCTTACTAGATTTGGTCGTCGTAGAAAGGAGCGATGTCTTTGGCGCGCGAAATGAGTACGTCTTGATAACAGAACATAACTAATCTAAAATGCACCTACATATATCTTAATTATCTACACAAAGAGAGAAATAAGTAATGCTCCGTGAGGAGCCGGACGTTTTTTACTACGGTTCTTGAGGTGACAACGTGTATACTTATGGGCATTACTACCAGGTGTTACGCTAGCATTTGAGGAAGACGGCAAGGAGCAAAGCCCCCCTCTTATTCCAACGCACTATTGTATACCCCCTCCTCCCCGTCTCTTCTCTCCTCCGTAAAGATTAGTCTGTCACTCCAGGCTCGTACAGAAAGATTTCCTTTCCTTCCCACCCGTGGCTTTCGCAGTGAGATAATAAATCCAATGCACGATGGCAGACGACAACCGGACATACATTTCGGGTCTTGTGCCTGTTGCACGAGTGGTAATATTAGCGCACTTTTTGCGCTTTATAATTTTTTTTTAAATATACTGATTTGGTTTTCGATGGAGGTCAGCAAGTTTTTAATTGTATTCATGTTTTTAGTCACTAATTAAAAAGCTAATCAACACGTTTCTTATGCTGTAAAGGACTACGTATGTGAGCTCGTGTAACCCGTGCACCTCTGTTCCCGGCAGTTTCCTTGATGCTTGGGTAATTTGAGAAAAAGTTTATCGGGTTTTTGTAAACTTGCATTGCAAGAGAAAATGCTCTCATTGGATCAAAGAAAAAAATTGCACAACTAGGCTTTGGATGTAGAGTCAGTGGGTGTTGGCGTGCGCTGTTAGAGTGATGGTGCTCTTGGTTGATTTCAGATCTGCAACAGCACCAAGGAGTATCCTGACCTCCATTTGGGCGTGGCATTGTTTTCTCTCGAGTTAGAAGATGGAAACAAGGAGTGTCTCAAGAGTGGGCACCTGAATGAAGTCGCAGGATATTGGCGCACAAGCGGAGTGTCATCATATGTGAAGAATGTCATTAGAGATGCCAATTTTTTAACCACGCAACCAGAATGTGATCTATACAAGAAAATAAGAAAAACAATCTGAGAAGACGATTTTGACTTCTCGATTTTCTCTATTAAAAACAAAAACGTCTCGGTCAGCCTTTGAAGGATGGCGTACGGTACGAGGAGTCATAAATACCTTTTGCCTCCTAGGTAGTAACTTTTTGTTAATTTATTGAATTGAACGTCGTTCATCCGAATTAAAGTTTGTTTCCTTCTTATTTCGAGGAGCACATAACTTATCAATGTGTAGACCCCACCTGTGGCGATGCCCTTCTGCTATCGTTGCGCTACTCTCCGCATGCCGTCGTAGATGACTGAGGACGGCTGTTGATGACACTAAATGCGCACTGCATCACTAACCTCGTAATCGCACACAAACACTGCACACTTCAGATGTTTTTTGTCCCGTAAAGCAAGCAAAAGTTTGATACCGCGAGGCCCGAGCTGTGAGGTGAATGAGGCAAGACATTTTGGAACTGCAGCTCCTCCAGCACGGCGTTGGCCTCGTCACCAACCGCCTTCAGTCATCTACGACGGGATGCGGAGGGTAGTGCAAAGATAGCGGAGGTGCATCGCCGCCGTTTGGGACTATATTGAAAAAAGTTATCTGCTCCTGGGAAAGAAGACACTTTGAATTTATTCTAAATGCAACTTTTTTTTAATTCTCTCACTGAATAAAAACGTTGCGGCCGAGGAAGCAAAAACTTGTTGATAACCCCCCCCCCCCCCCCCACCCTTTCCCGCGCCTTTCTTACAACATTCTCGCGCCGATTTTTTTCCCCCAATATATTGCTACCTTGAAGAAAAGTTAAAGGTGTGTCTAACTAAATTTCTTAGGCCATCGACTATATTCACCTAGAGTGAGAGAGGTTATTTTTGTGTGTGTGTGTGTGTGTGTATGCGTTCCTCTGTGTGGTGTGTGGGCGTTTCTGTGTGTTTCTTTAAATTTTTTTTATTTTTCCAAAACACTGGAAAGACACTGCAATAATACTTAAGAAACAAGCGAGCTGGTGATTATTCATGGTAATAAAACCCGAGACTCAGGAACACAGAAGGGGACGAACACAACACGACGTCTCAAACACAGTTGAAGGTTTATTTGTCAGACACTCGTTTGAAAAGGCGAGTCCCCCCCCCCCCCCCCCCGGTGCCCCAACCGACATCCACAGTCCCGAAGGTCAAGCCGCTTCCTCCCGTCCAGTCCACGTCAGCAGCCCTCCTCGCACACACAGCCATCCACATGCGCCAGGCGCCATAGAGTCCATGAAAACGTCCACGCAGTTGACTTATCACCCTCCACAGCCACCAATGCTAATCCCCAACTTCCTCGCAACGCTTCCTTGCCCCCCGCCGTCGAATCACAAGCACACCACTCAGATATACCCCCTTTCCGTCCCCCACCCCCCTTTACAATTGCCGCTGTAAACGTAAACCTCGAAAACACATGGGGAGGGCCACCGAGTGAGCCAAAACGCCGCAAAGTAATCTCAAAGCCTTAAGGCCCGTTCACACAGTTGCGTTCGGAGCGACCACTACGCTTACGAACGAATGCAACCGGTTGGAGCGACAAGTTACTATAGCAACGAAGCGCCAAACGGTCGTTTCGTTCGTGTTCGTTCGCAACGCAAGGAGTTGAGCCGGGCTGAACTTTTTCGTTACGTTCGGGAACGACGGGAGCGACAGACCAATCACAGGTCAAGGAGCTCGGTCGCGCGCGTTGCATGCCGGTCGTTCCAGGCCCCTTCTATTTGCAAACATGGCGTCGGTGGTGATCGTCGGCAGGACGGTGTGGTGAAGGCTCATCGTTCCCCGTAAAAGGGCTATCCTTGACTGTGAATTTTCGTCGTGTGTCGTTAGGATAACCCAGCACGTACTAGAAGGGAAGATCCACCTACTTGTGCGGCGATCTCGTGGCGGCACTCTCAAGACAGCAGAAACGCCCGTGCCGTCGTGTTCGTTTACTTCGACTACAGTGGTGCTTTCTTAGCATTTGTGTCCTCAAACATCACCCGGATTTCTTTTTTGGCGCATTCCTTGCGTGTGCTCAAGTTCAAGGTATTACTGGTGCGTACCGTACAAAGGATGCGAATTTTTTACTTGTTTTCATCGCCCGAAAAAGGTGATTAGTGTTAGCAATCCTGAACGCTCGCATCGTCTGTCAAATTATATTTCTACGTTGCTATATCGTTGCTAAGATTACATCGTCTTTTATAATCGTAAAAAAGGCGTGTGGCGAGATTTTTACTGTTGGCAAAGTTGTGTATTAAAGTCGTGATCGTCCAAGACGGCGTACTGCATCTTTTTCTTTTTTTAATGCACTACCCTGCAAGCGTGTCCTGAAATAAAGAGTAATAAAGCTTGAGGTCATAGAAGACGGTCTGTCTATTTTCTGTTACGCAAGTGAGTGGCAGCGCGTCCCCTTCTTTTTGGAGGCACCGCTGAAACAGCTGACGGCAACGGAGAGGCGGTCGCCGTTCTGCCGACCCGCTGCGCTTGTTGCAGTGGTAGCAGGAGTGTACGCGCGGCGCAGAGCGATCGTTCCGGTCGCTCTGGTCACAACGGACGCAGTCGCGGATAACGGGTTCGTTTTAGATGTCTGAACCAGCCTTTACACAGCTATTGTAGGCGCACAGCAGATCTTCGTGACTGTACGCCGTAGCCGAACCCTCGGGCTGCTCCGGTGAGGACCCCGCTACCCCGCGTCGGGCACGAAACCGTCCGCCATGTTTGTAAGCGTAGCTGGGTCGCTTCCTATTGGCTAGGAGCAATAGCTGAAGCTCGTTTCTCATTGGCTGTTGCTTCGTATGGTTGCATGCGGTTGCATGTGTGTGTACACGTCGCGCACAGTCGTCGTTGAAGTCGCAGCGGTTGCATTCGTTCGTAAGCATAGTGGTCGCTCCGAACGCAAATGTGTGAACGGGCCTTTACAGTTGGTGCCGCTATCCGTCGTCCCCCCTTCTATGTACTTCCTCATGTATAATTACGTTACCAACACGCTCGACCTTCCCAAAAACCTACCCCCCTTCCCTTTATTTCCGTCTCCTTCCAATGCCCCCGCCCCCCCCCCCCACCCCCCCCCCCCCCCCAAAAAAAAAAAAAGGTCAATTTTATTTAATCTTTCGGCTGGATCTCACCCGTCAGGGAGACGAAAACTCCGTTTCTGATATAGGACAAGGTTAGGTTGTTTAAAGAAACGGAAGAATTGCCTATGCAGTTCCCTATACTCCCTATTCTAATGGTCTCCCTGAATATACTTTTAGTCGCATCTTTTTCTCTGTAGATAACTTCTGTTCTGGCCCACTCCGGGTTACACCCATTGCAGTCCTCAATATGTCTGGCTATTTCTGAATTTTAAGCCCTGAATTCTACTGCCCTTTTGTGCTCTAATAACCGATCGTTTACACATCTTCCTGTTTGGCGAACGTAAGTAAAACCACATGTCAATGGTATACCATAAACTACCCCCTCCATACACTCGAACTCTATTTCTGTGTTTGTTTGGGCTCCCGCTCACCCCTCCCGTGAATGGGGTTAGTCTGCTGAGTTTAAAGTGCGGTCTGAAAACCAGTTACCTTGAATTTTTTAGCAAGAGCCTTCAAATTATGGGAAACCGAATGGTAAAAGGGAATGCAAACTACATTGTTCATTTTTCTTTCACTCTGGCCGTACCCGCCAAACGCTGTAAGCCCCTCGCGGCTACGCTCTCCACAAGCTCCCTTTTGTATCCTGCCGCTAACAACCTAGACACTTTCGCCTGCACAGCCTCTGCAACCTTATGCACACAAGATTTACTGAGCGCACTATTCAGCCGTGAAGCGGCAACACTTCTCTTGACCGTCTTGGCATGAGAACTCATGTAGGGCAACAATGGCCTGGGTTCATCCCTGCCGTACCTCCAGCACAAGCCGTTCGTCAAACTTAACATCCAGAAGCTGTAGTGATCCATTTTTTTAGAAATTCTGTTACAAAGGCCAGCTCAGGCGCCGTGTTTCGGATGAAATCCACAAGCATCGCCAAGTCACTGCCTCTCGTCGTACAAACCAAAATGTCATCGACATAGCGTTTCAATAAAGCGGTCCCACACGACATCGACGTCAACACCGTTTCCACTTTCAGATCTAAAACCCTTAAATAAATTTCAGAAAGAATGGGTGCCAATTGCGAACCAATACACACATCTTTTTTCTGAACCAATTCCCTTCCTTCAAAACCCACAGCAGTGCCCGACAAATACCTCTCCAATAACATCAAGAAGTCACTAAGGCTTATGCCGTAACTTGACTGAAATTTCACTAAACCTAACTCGAGCCAATCCCTCACACGTTGCAACAACACACCCTGGTCCAATGAATAGCACAAATCTTTGATATTCAATGACCCCACTCTGCAACCTTTCTGGTGGAACACCCCCAAGAGCTCCAACACCTCTTCCGAATTCCTGAGCGAGAGGGTTTTGCAACGGCAAGACCAACAAAAATTTAGAAAGTACCTTTTGCCACGTCCCACCCTCATTGATGACAACCCTCAGAGACATTCCAACTTTATGGTCCTTCAGAAAAAACTTTACCGACAGCGTGCCTTTTCTTGCATCCCTTATTCGTTCAGCAGTCCCCTCAAACTCCCATTCGTTCAAAACCTCAATGACACTCTATTTCGTTTTCCTCAAATTTAACATGCACGGCTGAAACAAGCCGTCTAGATCCACGTCTACCTTTCCTTTATAGTCACTCAGGGAAAAAGCACCGAATTTCCCACTTTTGTCAGTTTGCAATAACGCTAAATTCTTCCGTTCCAACTCTCTTCTGATCCCCAGAACCTGACGAAAGTCTCTTCTGTCATAGTCTACCCTGTTACCCGTGAACTTCGAGACGACTCTAAATGATTGTTCCTGGTAACTGGATCTTGCGACCGAGTCCGGGATCCTTCTTCCCACAGCCTACACAGCCGCGACAACGTCCAACCTTGAGGGCTTGACATTCAGGCAGAATTTCGGGCCGTCCCCCAAAAAATTCTCAGTTCGCCGTGACAACGTCACCCGCGAAGGATTCGCCACCTTTGGGCACACTTGGTTATACTTTCGTGATTAGGAACCGGG